TTGTTTTATTTGTTATGATAACACAAAGAAATAATAATATAATGAAACAAAATCCAATGGTCATAAAATAAAAAAAACGTGCAAATATTTTGAATGGTCCAATGGGAACGTGGCACACATCGTCCCTGGCCTCCAACCGTGACTAAAAAATACAACCACCTATACCAACGGACAGAGGTCCCTCACTACAACCTTGCTCATCTCCAAAATCTTGCACATGCCCCAAAAATGGACTCTAAGACCATGGTTGGATTCGTCACAACCTCCTGATCACAACCATACCCTTTATGTGGACCAATTGTACCTGAAACGAAAATCCCTAAAACCACGAACCAAACCCTAGCAATGGTGGTTCTCCATACAGAGCACATAAATGAAATTGGTTATTACAAACAGTTTGCAAATGATGTGAGGGTCAATAATATGCAATTATTTCATTCAATGGATGCAAGAATAGTGAGTTTCGATTTCAAGAACATGGCGAATTCGTGGACTACTTACAGTGCTTTAGAATGCTTAAAAATGCGTGGTTTGGATTGGGTTAGCTTCTGGAGATGGCCAGCAATCGATTGGGACAAGTCTCAAGCCCTGAAAACGTCTCTAACCTTGATTTTGATCTCCCACTATTTTGTGATTTTTGCAACTTTTGTTCTGCCTCCTCAAGTGATCTCTAACCCTGATTCTCGTGCATTTTGCTTGCTTATGTATTACACATTGAATTAGGGTAACAAACTTTGTCCAAATCCTCCCACATTGATGATTGCATATTTGATTTGATCTTCCATTAAAACCTTCCAATTTTGGCTTGAATCCAATCTCTTTTTGCATAATGGCCTTGATACGAATTTGATTGCAAAGCTAGCTGTAGTTGGAGCCTAAAACAACCAGAAAATCATTTGTTATCAATGCCTTAGATTTTATGTGATTTTATTTGATTTAAAATGAATTAATTCAAAAATCAAATTAAATAATAAAAATGAGATATGGACACATGGCCAAGGCTAGAGCACATGGGCAATAATGCAAACTCAAATCAAGTGAAAAAGAATGGGCCCATTTGGTAAACTTTGAAGTTTTGGGGATAGTTGACTTTTGGCAATTTTGCAAAAAAGTCCAACTTCAACAATGCATAACTTCTTCAATTTTAAACTTTTGGAGGATTTCCTTGAATTTTTAGAAGGCTTGAGATGTCCTCTAACCAACCCTTTTGGTCTCATCTCATTTTGATATTCTATGCTCAAGTTATAAGCTTTGACAAAAAAAGTGTTTTTGTTGACTTTCAAAAATGACCTATAATGTCCAAATTGATAACTTCTTGTGAGTGCATATTTTTATCTTGGGATATGAATATGGATTGTAGGGAATTGCATCCTCTTAAAAATGAGCTTTGGATGGGTCATTTCGCGTAAAGTATGAGAAAGTTATGCTTGGTCAAAGTTGAGTTGACTTTTCCTACAAAACCCTAATTTAGCAACTTTTGAATCTTGATGAATTTTGAGCAATCCTTGATGAATAATGATCAACCCTTGATCAAATGATGAAATATACTTCAAAATGAGAATGTTGACAAAAAATCTTGAAGTTTGATTGTATGTAGGTCACAGTTGACTTTTGCCCTAGCACAATCAATTTTTGGACCTTCGAGCAATTGACTGAGCAAACTTCCTCTGAAAGGCTTGAAACTTGACATGAATGATCTTGACAACATATTAGGACATTGGGGATCACTTGAGGTCATTTTTACTCAATGATATTGATGCAACACAAAACCCTAATTTTGGGTAGACTGCCTTAGGGGAGAACTTGTCTGACCAACCCTTGGATTACTTTGAGCAATTTGGAGATCTTTCTTGCAATGTTTTGAGAAATATGGGAGGGAAAATTTTGGGTTACAACACTCTACCTCTTTTCCTTCTTCACCATTGGTTTATAAAACTTTGTCTCTCCCTCTACCCATTTTCAATTTATATTCTTGATCAACTTTTGAAGCAACTCCATATCATCGGCTTGTATCTTATCATTCCCAACTACCACATTCAACACTTTACACCCTCATCTACACATTTTTTAGTAAGTTTCTCATTTAGCTTATTTTGAATTTTGATTAATGTATTAGGTCAAATATGTTATTTTTAATGCATTAGATAATATTAACATTTGAAATAGATTATGTGTAGGATTTGTTTCTATCATTTGGATGATTTGGATGGTTAGGGCAAAGACAATGATGTTTTTTCCATTTAAATAAAAAAAATGAAGCTTTTTTTAGAGATGCATCTCTGAAATGTGTTATTTCTGGTGTTTGGAGATACATCGCAAAATTCTTTTCTTCCTCATGAACTAATATCTTTTGTTATATTTTTTTAAGGATAATGGCTGCAAACAATGACAGGATGAGACTCGACCATCCCACCTAATTGCGTCTGCTCGTCCCGAGAGGGCCCGTCAACATGAGCAGACTAGGGTCGTTCCTATGCCTCACGACAGGGAAGTGTCGACCTCAGGAGTCGACTATCACATGGATCGTCATCCCTGGCTCGTGCACACCATGAGAAGAAGGCCCTAACTGCACATGAGGCCCCACTTGAAGACTCTTATCCAAGAGGGCCCATAAACACTTCATTATTGATATACTTTTGAGATCATGTGGTCCACATATATAAGATATAAATGCATTTCTTAACGATTCTATTTTTTATATTTTAACCAAATTCAATTTAATTGAGACTGTTATATTTTATTTTCAACAGGAACGAGAGTGTTTAAAATCAATTAACCATTCCAAAAAGATTCATAGGCTTGATTAGCCTCCGGAAGAGTGGTTGCTTAGTGTACTCCGATCCTCCGGTCTTTCAGGTCTTTATGCTTCTGGGTACTCGGTCAGCAACCATGACATGCAGGCGATATTTGCTGAGAGATGACATATCGAAACATCATATTTCCACCTTCCCATTGGCAAGATGATGATTATGTTAGATGATGTTGCTTGCCTCCTACACCTTCCCATCAGGAGAAGGTTGCTTACTCATTCTAAGATCACCAGGTCATAGGCAGTGGAAATGATAATGATTTGTTTGGGAGATGACTCTGAGAAAGCCATGAAGCAGTGTAGCAACACCAAGGGTGCACATGCCAATTTTTCTTGGTAGGAGACATTGTATAATAACAACTTGGAGTTGGCCGAAGACCCCGACACTGATGATCTATAGGTTGGATACCATAGGGAGTATTCATTGAGGTGATTCTTCTTATTCTTGGTTGGCACGTCCATGTTTGTGGACAAAAGTGCAACCTACGTAGATGTGACATACCTTAAGTATTTCATTGACTTGAAGGCCATTCACGAGTGGAACTAGGGATCCACATGCTTGGTATACCTATACACCAAGCTGAGCGAAGATTCTCGTTAAAAGACAAAATAAATGGCAGGCTCATGCACACTGTTGACAGTAATTTCCAATCACTATTAAGTTAAAAACAACTTTTTTCACACGTGTTACTAATATCTTTTTCTTATTCATTTTTAGGGATGAATCCTTGTCCATTATCACCATATACACGAGTTTGGGTATGGCCCATCGTATATCGAGGATTACCCATGTGCTTGCCTGTATCTCGCGCGTAGAGGGAATGATCATGTGGTGTAGTTTCGTGTGTATATTGACCAGACTCAGCATGACGATGTCGTCTGAATGCCATACATAATTCACCAGAATAAAATTTCATTCGACCATATTTCATTATACTCCGGATGGGTGACGTGTGGGACTAATATCATGTGCATGTATCTTCCAGAGGGATGCATGCTGCCGTTTAGGTACGTGCAAATCATTATGAGGTCCCCCTTCTAGGATGCTCTTGAGAGCATTGTCTGCAGACAACTGGATGACATTCTGATGGATTTCGAGAGTCAGCTGGTAGAAGAGTATTAGAGTCAGGCAGCCACATCTAAGTGTTGTTATGTGGGTGGTTATATTACTTGCTTCTATTCTGTATCACATCCTTACATGACACTCGACACTCTTGGACTTTCACCTAGGCCTGCTCATGAGGAGATCTTGGAGAATGATTATGCTAGGGATGATCATGCCATTGATGTGATCTGTCAGAACATTATGCGGATGACAAGATAGAGCATATATTATGGGCTGTTTGAGAGAGGTGGCGATGAGGTGGTAGCCCTAATACATTCCATTCTTACCGAGCCATAGAATGCATTGGGTTACCGTAGGCAGAGGAGAAGCCAGGGTGTTAAGATTATACATACTTAATAGATTACACATTTGATTGTATTTTATATATTTTTTTATACTTTGAGAATAATGTTTGTATTATGATTGTATTTTTGATTAATTAACGCATTACTTGATATTCATGTTTATTAATCTTTGAAATAAATAATGATAATGTTAATTGAATTAAAATTACTTTGGATTGAAAAACTACAATCTCACTACACAGTTTCTGCATAAAAACATGCAAGCAAGAATTCAAAGATGTATCTCCGAATTTACTCCACAAATAGTTTAGAGATACATCTCCAAACTATTTTCTTAAGAAAAAAAGTGACTGTTTGATTTATTAAAGGCGACTTCGGAGATGTATTTGCGAATTTACATTGAATTTATTTGGAGATGTATCTTCAAATTAAATTTTGATAAAAAAATATTTAATGCGTTCGAAGATGCATCTCCAAATAAACCTAAGAATATTTTGAGATTTTTAAAGATGCGTCCCGCTATTTATTAGGGTAAGGGTGTAACGAAAAATTTCTTTCTATAATAAGGCCCAATATCCATAAAGTAAAAAAAGAATGTTAATTTTTTTTACCGTGTAGTGACTTTTTTTTTACCAATGAATGAGAAGTGAAGTAGTAACCTAGTGCCTCCTTTCCCTTTCTCTTGTTACAAAGTACAAAACCCTACGAGGAGCAAGTTTCAGATTTCCCAGACACTCTCCGTTCTTCATCTGATTCCAAACTAACCCCTCTCCGCCGCGAAATGCCTCCTAAATCCGCCAAATCGAAGGAAGCTCCAGCTGAACGACCCATCCTTGGTCGATTCTCTTCTCACCTCAAGATTGGAATCGTATGCTCCACTCCTTTTCTCTCAGCAATCGCATAAATTTCCAATTTTTATACTATTTTCAGTACCCCTTTTTCAATTGCGAAATTGGGCACTTCGTTAATCGACTTCATTTTGTGCATGTTTGATTATATAGAATAGTGTACATAGTAGTTTTTGTGTAATTAAACTGAGCTAGAAGCATTGAGTTGCTGTTTGTTACTCTCTTTTCAGGTTGGTTTGCCAAATGTTGGAAAGTCTACTCTTTTCAATACACTCACCAAGATGGCTATTCCTGCTGAGAATTTCCCCTTTTGCACTATTGAGCCTAATGAGGCAAGGGTTAATGTTCCTGATGAGCGTTTTGAGTGGCTTTCTCAATTGTTCAAGCCAAAAAGTGAGGTTTGTAATGTCTCTTATACCATCACTGGTGAATTCCTTTTGTTAATTTATTAATATACACTCACAAGGTTACTAACGTTTGGTTGTCGATAATTTGATGGGCAAGTTACTAAGTGTGTTGTGTATCCTGATGTGTTTGTTGGATTTGTAAATACAGGTCTCGGCTTTCTTAGAAATCCATGACATAGCTGGATTGGTTCGAGGTGCTCATCAGGGACAAGGGTTGGGAAATAGTTTTTTATCTCATATCCGGGCTGTTGATGGCATTTTTCACGTTTTACGTAAGATGATGACTGCTCTTATTTCACACCACTGTTACATTATGATTTTATAATGTTGTATTGATTTGGGGGGTTATTAACCTATAGTCTTTGCCAATCGTTAGGTGCTTTTGAGGATCCAGATATTATCCATGTAGATGACACTGTTGATCCTGTGAGGGATTTAGATGTTATTACTGAAGAGTTACGGCTGAAGGTATGCTTAATAAACATCAATTTTTTATTCACATTGATCTTTGCTCCATTGATTCTTTTTTCTTTAATATCCGACTGTTTATCTGTGTGTGTTTTAACGTTAACGAGGTTCCCTTAATGCCAAATTCATTGTAATTTCTTCTTTTAGCTTTGATGAATTTATTATTTTATAATAATTTAAAGGTTATACTAGTACCTTTTCAATAGCACTTCTTATACACTGTAATATAACTGCTAATCCTTTCCCTCTGTATAACATAATAGGATATTGAATTCATGCAAAACAAGTTAGAAGATCTTGAAAAGAGCATGAAGAGGAGCAATGACAAGCAGTTAAAAATCGAGCTTGAATGTTGTCAAAAGGTTTGACTTTTTCTGAGCATTATTTGCACTCATCTAACTTTTGTATGATACTTTCCACAATACATTGCTGCAACAACAGTAGTTGCTTTTTTTGTGTTTTTTTTGGTGCTTTCTGTCACGAGTTTCTTTTAGATTCAACAATATGTTGCTGCAATAACAGTAGTTACTTGCAGAAAATTTCTCAAATTTGGAAGGAATAAAGATTTGAGGTTGTAACATTATGTAAATCGTCACGTTCAATTGCTGTCAATGGATTGGATATGACTTCTATTAGCTCTTAAAAAACATGGAAATTATGTTTGTGTCTATTTGTTTATGCTATGCATTGCAATTTCTCATAAGATTGATTTTATCACTTAAATGCACTGTCGCATCCCTTTTATCTTGTGTGTTTAAGTTTTGTAAATATACACACAAAATAGTTGGGGGTAAATATTAGATGAAAATTGTGGTGGTAATTTTTCACATCTTCAGGTCAAAGCATTCATCGAGGAGGGAAAAGATGTACGCCTAGGGGATTGGAAAGCTGCCGAGGTCGAGATCTTAAATTCCTTCCAGTTGCTTACTGCCAAGCCTGTTGTCTACTTGGTAACATATTTCACTCTTCTTTCTTTTGACTTTTTGTCTATCTTTGGTTTACTACGAGATTTGATGTGTGTCGGATATTGTTGGACAAAATGTTAAACATATGCTTTAGCCTAACAATGTTTTTCATAAACCTTATAATGACTTTGAGCCGAGGTTTATACTACTGGGCATGAAAATAAAATCATGGTAGCATTTAGTAACTGATACTTATTTTTCTTTCTTTAATAACGTTTCACTGCTTGCTTACCTTTGTACATTTAGAACCATACATATGCAATAAAGCTATCAGTCTGCATGTATGATGTGACTTGTCTAATAAAAATATTTAATCAAACACTCATTTAGTAAATTATCTATGTATAGAATGAGGATACATTACTCATATCCTATGTCTTTTCATGTTTTATATTCTATTCTCAATTATTTATGGGATTCAGCGATACTTAAGAATGCTGTATAATTTGGGATATGTCTAGATAGATACATGTCAGCCAGAGATGTCTTTGTTTCCTATATGTTTGGAAATAGTAAGACACTATTTGGATATGGCTCAAAGCTGACCAGATATGGCTTGGATATTTTGATGATAAGATTGCTAATTGCAAAAGACACTAAATTATAATTTTTTGATAGGAGACTCCAAATTAATTATAAATAATAGCTTGGTTAATGTTAAGATATGAACATAGGTTTGATTATTTTATACAAAGGCATTCTGTTTTTCTGTATTTATATCCTAACTTTATTTTGATTTATAAATTATAATATAGTAAATGTCAAAAGATGTTTCCTTATATATTTTTATGTTAGATGTTATACTTGTTTGTGTTTTATATCTTTTATACAGTTAAGTCATATTTACGTAAAATTACTTTCATTTCATATAGTTCAAAATTTACATTTGGGTTTAAGAACCTTAGTTTTTGAAGTATCCCGTACTATGCCCGATACCGTACTTGTATCCATGCAACATAGCAGCATTTCACACATACGTTTTTCTTGTGAAGACCATATTTCGTATATACTCGCATTGCATGAAAGCACATAAGCGTATGCATGTTTATTTTTAACTTTTTAATTTGGATATCCTTGTCAATACTCAGAATTTGCCTTATCACTTTATGTAGTTTTTGTGTGTCATATATCGATAATGACTGATGAGTTAAATAGAAATCCATATTGTTTCGTTTTCTGTATATCTGATCTGCTTATGTGAATTTTCCGTCTCTTAATGCTACATTTTATTCACAGGTTAATATGACCGAAAGAGATTACCAAAGAAAAAAGAACAAGTTTCTTCCCAAAATTCATGCATGGTACGTAGTTATGTTTTTTTCTCCCTGTAATCAAGTTAGACTTTGTCTCATTCCTTGGCCGCCTATTTGTGAGTATAAAGGATGCTATAAATAGTTGCAAAGTATTTAAGCTGTTTCTCTCCTCTATGAGCGGCCACTAGTAGAAGAAACTCGTTACTAGTTTGTCACATTTTGTTGCTTATGCAATACTGTTTACTGTAATTTGTATATTCTTATCATGCCTAGTTTATAATGTCGAAAGAAAATTTTATTAACATTAGTTACCTTTATTCTCCAGGGTTCAGGAACACGGTGGTGGACAAATGATTCCTTTCAGCTGTGTCTTAGAGAAGAGTCTCTCAGATATGCCTCCTGATGAGGCAGCTAAATATTGTGAGGAAAACAACGTTCAAAGGTCAGTTCAATGTTTGTCCTATTGCTAATTAAATTTATGAATGCAAAGTTATTACGTAAATATTTTGTGGATTTGAAAAGAGGGTTTACTTATACATCAAACATTTAGGTCTTGAGTATATGTTGAAATTATCTTAATTTCATTCCAAACAGAATTTCTTTCCAAATATCAAGAATATCTCTATTATTCCTTCAAATAGGAATGCTACTGTTATCGTTTATGTTAAAAAGGAGTCCCTTATTGGATTTGAACCGATGACTTCTTACCACGTTCTTACTCTTCCATTGAGTTAAAAGGAATACATTCAAAAGTTTCAACTTTTGAACATTAACAGGCACTTTCATTGATGCATATTTTAGATAACCAGCCCGAACCAGTCAGTCAGATCGGTCTAACAAGGAACCAGAGTATTAAACCCTTTACTGATTTAGTCCTGTCAGGTAACCGGCACGTCGGAAACCCGTGAACCTGTGAAAACCTGCCATTCCCACATTTAACCAGTTTCTTTGCTTAAAAAATAATATTATTAATCTTATGAATATATCACTGGGCTTATTCATGTCTTACCACTGCCCAACTCACCATAGAGCTGTTAATATATGCAACTGCTATTCTTTATTATTTCCAAAATGCATCATATTAATATTAGTTTTAACTAATAATTTTTACCCTATTCATTTACTCCCTCCGTTTTTTTTTTTTATAAATAGCTAGCCTTGGAGAAAAAAATTTGTACCAAGTCGTTTTGCAATACCAAGAAATCATAACATTATTTTTCCTATTATACCCTTAAGTATTTATTATTATCTCTTTCAATTATTTAAATTTATCTTTTCATGCATTTTTCCTATTATACCCGTAAGTATTTATTATTATCTCTTCTCTCAATTATTTAAATTTATCTTTTCATGCAATTAATGTAGGAAAGTATTGTAAAATCATTCATAATTTCTCTTTCCCATATAACAATGATTACTTTTATGAATACATGTGAATAGTAGGAAACGACCTGTATAAAAAAACAGAGGGGTATTAGATAAACTATTTTTTAATAATCTTCGTTTTCATTAAAAATTGTTAAATAATTCTTATGCTTATTAATTTTGAAGAATTTGTGCATAATTTATATGCTACTAAAATTGCTATATCCTTCATTTCGACAGTGCTCTTCCCAAAATAATAAAGACTGGATTTTCAGCTATCAATCTCATTTACTTTTTCACAGCAGGACCTGATGAGGTGAATATCTGTTTTTCTCCTTTCGTTCTTTTGTCTTTCAATTATTTATGAATATGCTGTGGTATTGGTTTCATAAACTTTCCAAGCTATAATCTTAGTAGTTTTTCCCATAGTTGCTAGAATCTTACTATTGACAATTCGAACTGCACAGTTCCATACAAGGTAATATAACTATTTGAATCATGTGATGTATTTCAAATGAATTTGAATCATGCCATGGATGGATGATTTAGTGCAATTTGTATCATTGATAAATGGAATAGTGCACTCAAAGATTTGTTTTTATTTTACATTTCTTCACCTATTTCTCGTCAAAAGTATCGTAAAGTCAAATATGATTAATTCATTGAATGAAAAGAAACTAAAGGTCTGGTATGAAACACACTTGTTTGTTAAAACCTCACTCTCCCTCCACCCTATCTTTTCCTTTGATGCACGTTCCGCCATGCTGTTTTTTTTTTATTATGAGCTGAGAATTGTATTTTGCTTGATTTGTTTTTTTTTTGCGGTTGTTCCATGTCTAAGATTACAGGTTTTGGTGCCTTAACTATTGTGGCTATAATTTGTTTCTTTCAGGTTAAGTGTTGGCAAATTAGACGCCTAACAAAGGCTCCTCAAGCTGCAGGGGCTATCCATACTGATTTTGAAAAGGGGTTTATCTGTGCTGAGGTTAGTTCATTGATTTTGGACAATTCTTGATCATCCATATTCTCCCTCCTATTGAACAAATTCATTTTTCATTATGACATCCATGTATATATTGATTATACAAATAAATTATCTGCTAAGGTTTTATTGCAACATTGTTTATTTATCTTCAATAATCAAACATAGGAATCCTCAGATTCTAGAATTGAATACTAAATGGCATTCTGTTCCTTCATGGCAAATTTAGACGATTTTCTTCACGACTCTAATCAAGCTGTTCCACCCTTGCAATACGAGTTTTTAGCTGTTAAGAATCTTATTGAAACATGCTTATGCTTTTACAAGATGGTTTCTTATTAAGGTACAATCCACGATGCTACTGAGTGAAGTTCGTTCTACAATCATCCAACAGTTGTTAATATTTCTAGCTAAACATTCCACTTAGGAGAATGTGTTCACCGGCTATGTAGTTTAACTTATCACGATTGATTCATTAACTTATTTCTTTCTGTTATTGTTGTTTTTGCTGTTACAGTAACTTGTATATTGATTGATAGACATGTTCAATATTTGCAACCATTGATCTGGGTGCTTTTCAAATGTCGTTTCAGGTGATGAAATTTGATGATCTAAAGGAACTTGGTACTGAGTCAGCTGTAAAGGTATGCACTCGATCTTTAGATATAAGTTTTATTTCTATTTCTTCTGAAAATGTTCAGATATAATAAAGTATCAAAACAAAATAAATGAAACAATATTTCAGATCTAACATTTTAGGTTAATTGTAGCTAATCTAGGATCACTTAACCTAGGTTTAACATCTAGGGAACTAACCACTTGTTGCTCTGTTGTTTTTTTATTTGTTAGGCTGCTGGAAAATATAAACAGGAGGGTAAAACATATGTGGTCCAAGACGGAGACATTATATTTTTCAAGTTCAATGTTTCTGGTGGAGGGAAGAAGTGAAACCAGAAATTCACCTTTTCTAGCAGTTTGCTGATTTACATACATGCATGACGGACACACGCCTACCATGTTTGATTGAGCATTTTGTAAGAGGTTGAAAGTGTAATTTTCATGATTATGTACTTAGGTTAATTATTTCTAGTGGATTTTAATTCGGAAATTATAATTTGTTAAGTCATGTCTTATAGCAGTTTTGAAGATATAAATGTTGCTGAGTTGATGCCTATTGAGTTATTGCATGATGGATCAATAAATATATATTGATTACCATTGATTAAGTGTAAAATGCAAACAACATTTGTTACAATTTGAATACATTGATTACCCACCCGTAGTAATAATTTTAAGAAATAGTATCAGAATTGTTAAAATAGACCCAGATTTATACTTCCTCTATTTTAAAAAAAAGAAATTGTTTTAAAAATAAATGTTATTTTCACTTTTCAAATTATAAATGATTATTTCTTCTGTTTTATATTATAAGTAAATTTTACTTTCTAGAAAATTATTCAATAAATCTAAAAAATGAAATTTATTTATAATATGAGATGATATGAGACAGAGAATACTATTTTTTTTCATTTATTCTTTTTAATTAATACGTACACATTTACTCTTATAGTAGGGAAAAGCCTTAACCAAACGAGTGGTTTATTAAAGAATCATGGCACTCAAGTCCAATTTTTAGAGATTACTTTCTCTTAGGGAATTAACCAGAGGGGAAGGACTCAATTATAAATAGTGGTATAATATATAATGTCTAATTTAATATATCAATCATATCTTTCAGTCTTTTAATTTAATAGAAGTACACTTTAATTTAAACATCACTTATTTTAAAACAGAATGAATGATTTAAAAGTGCTATGAATAGAAAAACAGTATATTATTCATTGATTCAAATACCTAAATTATATAACTCATACCATAATTGAAAATAAATTAAAGTCGTGTTGCTAAATTGGAACATTATCTGAGGCATCGACTAATTCATTTTTTCTTAGAACAATTGTCTTTAGAAAATAATTACAAATCTAAGTTCGTGACAACTATAAAGAGCGTTAAGTTAAGTGGAGTATTTTTAAGTGTTTGGGCACTAAATTAAAATTACATAGGTAATTTCTCTTTTACAGCCTTATACAATTAGGCACATATTTGAAAAATTCTAAAATATCTTTGGGTTTATTTGGAGATGTATCTCTGAATGCACAAATTACTATTTTTTTTTGTCAAAATATAATTTCGAGATGTATCTCCAAATAAACACAAGAGTAACTTCACAGATATATCTCTGAAGTCACATTTCTTTCTAAGAAAATCAAACATCCACCACATTTTTCTTAAAAAAATAGCTCAAAGATGTATTTACAAATTTGGTGAAGAGTAAATTCGAAAATACAACTCCGAATTCTAAACTCCATGTTTCTTTTGCAGAAACAATATAACTATATTGTAGTTTTTTCAATTCAACATAATTTTAAATTGATTAACATTGTCATTATTTGTTTCAAAGATTAATAAACGCGAATATCATATAAATAGTACTGCGTTAATTAATCAGAAAGACAATCATAGTACAAAAATTATTCCTCTAAGTCAATAAAAATTATACAAAATATAATATAATGCATAATCTACTGAGTATGCGTAATCCTAACACCCTGTCTCCTCCTCTGCCTACGGTAATCCAAGGCATTCCATACCTTGAAATAATGGAACATGCTAGGTCATTCGCTTCATCGACAACTCTCTCAAACAACTCAGACTCGACGCCCTCTCCTGTCACCCGTATAATATTCTAACAGACTGGAAACACATTAATGGTATGATCATCCATGGCCTACTCATTCTCTAGAATTTCTTCATGAGCATGCTTAGGTGGACGTCCATGAGCGTCTGGTGTCATGTAAGGATACAACACAAAATAGAACCAAGTCATGTAATCCTCCATATAAGACCACTCAAATGTGGCTTCCTGACTCCGATACTCCTCCGGTACCAGACAACTCTCAAAATCTGCCAGAATGTCATATAGTTGTTTGTGGACAATGCTCTTAGGAACAACTTAGAAGGGGGATCTCATAATGATCTGCACGTATCCAAACTACCGCATGACCACTCTGGAAGATACCTACAAATGCTATTAGTCCCACATGCCAGCCATCAAGAGTATAATAAAATATGGTCAAATGAAATTCTATTCCGGTGAGTAGTGTATGAGATCCAGACAACGTCATCATGATGAGTCCGGTCAATATATACACGATGGTCTTACACTGACCAAAGGCTTCCTCGGGGTCAACTCCTAAATAAACCACCTTCATCACCACTGCATCAACCCTGGTGATCTTAGAATGATCAAGAAAACTCCCTCTGATGGAAAGGTGTATGAGGCAAGCAACATTATCTAATGTAATCGTCATCTTGCCAATAGAGAGGTGAAAAAAATGACGTTTCGCTATGCCATTTCTTGATAAATGTCGCATGCATGCCATGACCGATGATGTTGCACCTAAAAGCACAAAGACCTGCAAGAACGGAGTTCACTTTGGAACCATTCATCCTGAGCCTGAAAAAATGGTGAATCTTTCTAGCACGGTTCACAGATTTCAAACACTCATGTTCCTGTTAAAAAGAAAATATAACAATCTCATTCGAACTAAATTTGGTTAAAATATAAAAAATAGAACCATTAAGAAATATACCTCTCCGTCCCGGATATGCGGAGCCATATGATCTCCAAAGTATATAAGTAATGAAGTGTTTGTGATTCCTCATAGAAAAAAGTTTACAAGTTGGGCCTCCTATGCAGCTGGGGCCTCCTCCTCATGGTGTGCACGACTCTGGGACGACGACCCTTGTGATATTAGACTCCTAGAGGTCGATGCGTCCCTGTCTTGAGGCATAAGGATGACTCTAGCCTGAAGGTGTGAAAAACACAAGAAAGGGGGGTTTGAATTGAGTTTTTTAAAACATATCTTTTCTTTTAAAAATATTCCCCTTTAGGTTAAAATGCTTTTCCCTCCACTCTTGATAATAACAATAAGTAATAACAGGAAGTAAAGAACAATGTATGTTTATACTAGTTCACTTGAAAATTATTAAGCTAGTCTAGTCCACCCACCAAGGTGATTTCACCTCACTCAATCAAGGACTTAATTTACTATAACCAAACTGATTACAATTTACACAAGTTACCCTAAAGTGAATAACAACCTTTAGACTCGCAAGCCCTAGACTTCTTAAGGATTCAGACTTACCCGGTCCCTTAAGGAATATCAACTAATAATCAACTTGATTATTACAATGCACAAGCTACCCGCAAGTGACTAACAACTTCTAAAACTCGTGAGCTCTAGAATTCTTAAGGCTACAAAGCTACCTAGTCCCTTAAGGAATATCAAACAACAATTTGAATACAATTTTTGTTTACAAGAGAATTTCTTCTAAAAAGATGAGTATGTAAACTATCTTATGAACAATGACTTAAGAATGTGAAATCAAAATGAACAACGTTTGCGCGTGAATGTTCAGTTGATTAGCCGCTTTCTTTCTTAGTCTTCAAGCCTTTATATAGCCATTAACATAATGTATCCATTGAGGGATAATCTTGTAATTTCCAAAAACATTGGCAGCTTGAGCAGTAACGTGGAGGACAAGATAGTGCAACGCGTCCGCCCTTTCTTGGCAATGGAATGAAACGTTGATTTTACCATGTATTATTTGTACCATGTTAACATTATCTTCTTTCTTTATTAACTTCAGAGGCTTCTGCGAGCATGAGTTTAGAAGCGAGAACATAACATCAGGTCATCAGAACTTCAAGTCTTCAGAATTGTGTCTTTAGAGTCTTCAACACTTGGTTATGAGAACCTTTTCTTGGAACCTTGGGTTTTTATAACTTCAAGTTTTTAGAATCTTTAGACCTTCTGTCTTTTAGAGTCTTCATGTATCTAACTGTCTTAGAAAATTCAATGGGGTGTGTGCTGGGGAAACATGACGAGTTTGGCCGAAAAGAGCATGCAATATACTACCTCAGCAAAAAGTTTACCAACTGTGAAACCAGATATTCACTGCTCGAGAAAACTTGTTGCGCTCTGGCATGGGCTGCTCGCCGGCTAAGACAGTATATGTTGACTCACACTACCTTATTGATATCCAATATGGATCCAATTAAGTACATATTCGAGAAGCCTACCCTCTCAGGAAGAATAGCAAGATGGAAGATGGTCCTAACTGAATACGATATTCAATACACTACCCAGAAAGCAATAAGGGGAAGTGTGCTAGCCGATCGATCACCTTGCTCATCAGGCTGTGGATGACTATCAATCCATAAATTTCGAATTTCCAAACGAAGACATCATGGTGGTAAATAATCATGAAGAACTCAGACCATATGACAGACCTGAACAAGGATCCCGATGAACCTTAGTTTTTGATGGAGTTTCCAACGCACTCGGTAACGGCATAGGCGTTGTGATCATATCCCCTGAAGGCTGCCATACTCCCTTCACCGCTAGACTGTGTTTCAACTGTACCAATAATATGGCTGAATATGAAGCGTGTATTATGGGTCTCAAAGCTGCCATAGATTTGGGAATCAAGTCCCTAAGTGTATTTGGAGATTCAACCTTAGTCATCAGCCAGATAAAAGGAGAATGAGACATGAAGCATCCTAATATCATCCCCTACAAAGAACATGTGTTGACATTAATCCCGCATTTTGAGGAAATTACCTTTGAGCATTTCACACGAGAGGAAAATCAACTAGCAGACGCTAGCCACTATGTCATCCATGTTCAAAATCAGGTGGGGTAATGAGGCTCCTCAGATCACCATTGAGCGGATGGACGAACCAGCTTACTGTCACGATATTGATACTGAAGAAGTAGTGGACAACCCTTGGTTCCATGAAATTAAGAGATATCTCAAGGCCCAAGAGTATCCGGAGGGAGCTTCAGTCAATGACAAGAAATTCCTGAGAAGATTCTCTGCTA